GTGTAGTACACACACACACACACACTCTCTCTCTCTCTCTCTCTCTCTCTCTCTCTCTTTCTTTCTTTCTTTACAGGTTCATCTAGGGACTTCCAGATCCTTAGTTTAATTACCAGTCTTTTCTGCTGTTAATCGCCCTGCCTCTGTTTGTAAACAAAACACCGACTCCCTGCCCCAGGGACACAAGCTGGGAGAAGCACCTCTCTGTAGAACTCCCATTCCACACTCAGGATGAGCTCAAGAGCTCCACCGGGGAACACCCCTCCTGTGTGACACTTGGGGGGAGCCCCCCTCTGTCCTACCTAATTGGCACCCTTGGCCCTGCCCTCCAGGGATTCACCCGCCTGTGAACATGGGGGGCAGGGCCTGACCACCTCCCATCCCTCCTCCCCCCCACCCCCGCAAGCTGCTCCGACAGCCCTTCCCTGAATCCCTGTGCAAGGGGAGGGGGAAGTGGAGTTGAACCCCATGGTTACCAGGGAGTGCGCTAACCCGGCTGTCAAGGTTGCAGGACTAATTGTATCACTGAGTGCACCCTCGTGCCTTCACCTCTCCTGGGGTGGAGACTCGCCTTCTCCCACTCGGGTCGGGCCTGGGGCTACTGCACCCCGTGTATCCAGCGGTGAACACCGTAACCCTCAGCTGCTTACACCAAACTATTGTTTAATCTGAACAGCAGGAACAAAGCACAAGAGAAAAAGGATTTTAAACCCGTCTGTGTGCAGGTCCCTCTTCCCGAAAGCCCTGTCGTGGGAGTCTAGGGAGGTCTAGCTTCTTCAGACACCTCCAGCCATGTCTGTGTGTCAGTCTGTTCCCAGAAACAGCTCCCCCACGCCCTCTCTCACCTCTAGACAGACAGAGGCTTTTTAATGGTTTATGGTCCTTGCCGTCTGTTGGCTGCCAACGCTGGGAAAACAAGCTGTGTAACGTGGCTGGCGCGCAGCTCATGGGAACTTCCCAGGTAACAGCTCAGGTGGTGTCTCTTAAAAACTCAGGCGTGTTTTGAGGGAGGTGCTTTGTCTTGAGTCATGGTTTTGCGGTCCTGTTTTTTTCTCCATAGCCCTGTTGATTTCACCCGTAGAGTCATACACCGAATGCCCCGATAACCAGGTCCCCTACACGGTTCATAGATTAGTACCGAGCAGCCCCATTTCCGTCACATCGTCTGCTACACAATCTCCAGCCATTGGGAGTTCAACACCTGCAAATAAAAGCCAGGAAAAGTCTCTGTCCTCCTGTGTGGGAACCCAGCTCAGGTACCAGCATCTGTCTGCGTCTGTTATCCCAACCCCTTCCTATCCACCCTGCCCTAGGGCCGCGAGTTCTTTCCTGTGCCGCTAACATGGTCCTCTTCAGCCAACGCCCCAGCCTCCGCACGCTGTTCCCGGCCCGAGGCAGGAATACAGCAGGGTGACGGGGTGGTGCATAGGCTGTGGCCAAAGCATCCTGTGATCACCTGTAGTGCAACGCTGTAAGGGTGCAGAGAGAGGAGGACGGTAGAGTGACCACTGGGTAATAGTAATTAGCAGGCAGAGTGGAGCGTGACACATCGGATGGAAACAAAACTGCTCAACTGTGTCCTAGGCCGCAGGGGCCAGATTGTCACAGGCACCCGCTTCCTCACAACTGCTCCCCTTGAAAGGCTGTTCCAGAACGTCACTCCTCTGATCAGCTCTGGCACTGCTCTGTGCCTGCCCAAGGCTTGCAGTTTGGGGGTCAACACCACCCCCTGGCCCCCAAACTACACCCACATTAAAAAAAGTGGGTGTGGGGGGGTGGGCATGACCCCACGGCCCCCTGGTTCTGGCACCGGTGGCCCACCCATTTCTACCAAGGTTTTGGTGCCCTTGCCTGGTGGCTGCAGTTCTACTCCTCATTGTTTTCCTGTGTTCCCTGTCCCAGCATCGGTTTTCCGATCTGTAAAGCGGGACTGTGACTTAGCGAAGAGCCACGAGAAGCTTAAAGAGACTGAGCTCCTATAGAGCTTACCGAAGAGAAGGTGAAGGGGTGACTTGATCACAGTCTATAGGTACCTACACGGGGAACAAATATTGGATACCGGGCCCTGCAGTCCAGCAGAGGAAGGTCGAACACAAGCAATGGGTGGAAGTTGAGGCCAGACACAGGCTGGAAAGAAAGTGCATCTGTTTAAGAGTGAGAGTAATTAACGATTGGAACAATTTCCTAACGGTCACGGTGGATTCTCCACCACTGGCAATGTTTACATCGAGACAGGAGGTTTTTCTACCAGCTCTGCTCCAGGAATAATTGTGGGGCAGGTCTCTGGCCTTTGCTATGCAGGGGTCAGACAGGCTGATCGCAAGGCTCCCTTCTGGTCTTGGAATCTCTGAATCGATACAAGCGCTTTGACTACCGCAGACGTGCTCAGCGTTGTTAGGGTGGGGGCTTTCCCCTAGATTTACAATCATGTCTCCCATTCGGCCCACTCACCCCCTGCCTCTGTCTCCATAGGCTGAGCCTTGTCCGTGCACCAGCTCTGCTCCACAAGAGCCTTTTCTTGGCTAGACATTAATAATTCACTCAGCGCTGAATAAAGTCACCTGTGCCAAGTGGAGGCAGCAGCAGAGTCCAGACCCCTCTCAGGAACGGTGGCATCTGAGACTGCAGCAGGACACTGCAGAGTGCGGAACAAGGAGAGCTTTCAATGGTTGCTGTTAACAGGGCCGGCTCTAGCTTTTTTACCGCCCCAAGCAGCAAAAAGAAAAAAGCGTCGCCCGCCGTAACACCCGCCCCACCGAGTGCCGCGCCGCCGAACAGCCCCCGCCGAGCGCCGCGCCGCACTGCTGAAGCCCCCCCGCAGGAGCACCGATAAACACCTCCCGCTGAGCGCCGCTGAATACCCTCCGCCGAGCGCTGCGCTGCCGGAACCCCTCCCCCCGCCAAGCGCCACGCCGCGCTGCCCCCGTCACCCCAAGATTGGCCGCCCCTTACCAGGTGCTGCCCCAAGCACGTGCTTGGTTGCCTGGTGCCTGGAGCCGGCCCTGGCTGTTAATCAAAACCTTGAAATCCTGGAAGCAAAGCAGCAGCACAGAGCGGGGCAGGGGCAGGGCTGCTCCCGTCTCTTCCCAGCCCAGCATGACACAGGCGTCTAGTTTCTGACTCCGTCTCCTGAAGATCATTTTTCCCCGTGGGCTGCAGGCTGTATATAGGAACCTGCTCCAGCTTTAACAGGAGGCTTTGGGGAGAAGAAACAGCAGCAGTTATTTGGCCAAGGCCAGCGGGAGCCCAGGAGAAGCAGAGGGGCAGAGTTCCAGTAACGGCCGCTGGTAAGAGGTTTTTGATCGGTGGGATTCCACCCAGGAGAGAGGCAGTTACAGTCTAATGCTCACCTGAGCAGTGCGGACATGTTCCAGCCGGGATCCCGCAGTGAAGCGTGAGCAGGTGCAGTTACATACACAGACACATACGCATCCCCACTGACACACAGGTGCACAGACGTGCCCGCATATGCATGTGCATGAGCATGCCTGCTGGCCTGCATGCAACGTACACACCTGTGCACGCACACAGACACGCACGTGCGCACAGTCACGGACACACCTGTGCACACACGTGCACGTGCTCACACTACAACAGATACCAGCTGGCTTATGAAACAGGAGGTCTCATCGCAGATCAACTCCCCAAGGCATTTAGCCTCCCATAACCTAAAGCTGGGATCCAGTGGGCTTTATTCTGACCTTTGGGCTGCCCTGGGGTCGTGGTCACCCTGGCTCTCTGGTTCTGGTGCTTCCCTGGCACCTACACTCCTCACGACTCTTTACACAAGTCACTCCCTGCCAAAGGGAAACGACAGGGGCACCTCTCTCCCTGGGTGGCTGCAGCCCTTCCTCCAGTTGTGCCGAGTCCCCATGTGACTGCCCTTCATTTCAGCGAACACGCTCAATCCCCTGCTCAGAGCCAGAACAGACTGAGAATTAAACCCCACGGAAATCCCCGCCAGCTGCCCCGGCCGGGGCTCCCTTGATTTGTCTCCTCATCTCTGTGCAGCCCAAGCCGGAGAGAACGAGGTCACAGTGACGGGCGGCCAGAGGCTCAGCTGTGCCACTCCCAGACCCAGGGACGATCGCCAGCTCTGGGAAGTGTCCCACAAATCTGGCCCTCTCTGCTGATCACAATGGTCCCTTCTGGCCTTATAATCGACGAATTCCTGCCAGGCAGGGTGCTGGCCACAGCAGACCAGGGGGGACAGAGTGCACCCCCTTGAGCCTTGGCTCTCTGCTGCTCCTTTTGGGCTGCTACGGACAGAGTGGGTTGGGGGAGTCTGGTGGAGCCAGAACCACCCAGCTCCCTGAGGCACCACCAGCACTGTGGGAAGACACACAGCTCCCCAGCGCAGGGGCCCAGGCAGTTTCTAAGGCTGCACCAACACTGCCTGCAGCATAGGTCACTTTCCCTGCGCTCGGACAGCAGTGCAGATGTGCGGGCCTGGGTTTCCGCGTGGACAATCAGTGCACGGGATGTCGCCAGGGTCCAGGGTCGGCCCACAACATTTTGGCACCTGAGGTGGGGAGCTCAAATGACACCCCTATGCCCCCTCACTTGTGCCAAAACTTTGAAAGGTCTCAATTCTGCCTTCTTCCTGGTCTACTCCGCTCATGGTAATGCTCGGCTACCTATCCCAATAAAGGAGAACTAAACTTAAAATGCCGTGTTCAAAATTTTTAAGTAACACTTAACTTTCAAACACCTGAACAGCAAATATAACTTTTTCTTGTCTGCAGAGTAAACACTGGCATTTTTATCTGTTTGAATAATCAAAGTGGTGCTTTCCATGCCTTCTTGTTTGCAAAGATTTGAACTGTTTCCTGAAGGTCCACAACCTGGGCCAGCTCATGCTCTACTGAGATGGTTGCAAGGCCGACCAGCCTCTCCTGTGTCATTGTGGAGTGTAGATGTGTTTTTATGAACTTCAGCTTGGAGAAGCTGCGCTCTCCACTGGCAACTGTTACAGGAAGTGGTAGAAGTATGCGCAGAGCAACAAAAGCATTTGGAAAGAGGGGGGTCATCTTATTTGTGCACATATATTCCAGAACAGCCTTTGGAGTTGATCCTGCTGAAATGTATCTTGAAAGGGCTTTCAGTTCATCACCAAAATCACATGCATCAATATTGTGCATGTCGTCACATGTCAACACTGTCTCTAGTGCCCTGCATTGCTGGGGTAGGCCTCCTTCAGGTATAGTGAGGAGTTTTGGAATATCATACAACATCCCACATATACTGCTGTGTTCCTTGAGCTGCATGAAACGTTCAACTGACTGTATTGCACAATCTAACACCTGGTTAAAGAATTCAACTTTGAATTGTTGTTTGGGGTCTCTTATGGGATTATCCCGTGCCTCGTAATCAAAATGTCTTCTTCTTCAGTGACTCTTGTATTCTTGAATGGGTGGGAAAATAGCTTCAGTGTGAAGTTCCTCTGCCAACTTCTGTGCACTCTCAGAACGTTTTGAAATCCCTCATCTGACCGGTAAGACTGTAGGTATGACTTTGATTTGTCCAGTTGTTAAATTGCTCCAGATATATCAAGGTCAACACCTTGGAGTCTCTTGCTTACAACATTTATTTCAAACAGCATGTCATGCCACAACACTAAGCCACACAGAAATTTGAAGTTATGTATGTTTCTGGTGATTCCATTTCCCTCTGCCACTGTTCTCCCACGAACAGTTCCTGTCATAGCATTATCCTCCATAATGGCAACTATGGCATCATCTATCTTCCCAATTTGGTGTTTGATCGGCTTTATCGCCTCCACTCGACGTTCCCATCGTGTGGCACTCAGTGGTTTCAGTGTCAGAGAGGATGTTCCCAGATGTTGCTTCAAAATTTGCCATGGATGAGTTGATGCAGAGAAAAAATACAGAGATGCTTCGAATTACATTAAAAAAACCAGCAGCCTCACTAGAAGCTGATGCTGCATCACTGACCACCAAGTTCAATGAATGAGAGCTTCATGGGACAAAAAAGCTCAAGGGTTTAACTCGGATCCGTGTCTGCGCTCCTCTGTTCTTTCCTCTCATGTTGGCACCATTATCGTAGCCCTGACCTCTCATGTCAGCTATCGCAATTCCCGTATCTTCCAGCTTTTTAAGAAGCACATTTGTCATACCAGCTCCTGTAGTATCAATGTCAATAAATTCTAAGAAAATGCTCTGACAGTCACCATTGCAGGGACATTTTCACTAGGTTCTGTCGTTACAAAACGCACCATTAAAGTCATTTGTTCCGTATGGCTGATGTCAGGTGTGCAGTCCAGAATAACAGAGTAATATCTTGCTGACTTCAGATCTGCCACAATCTTCTGTTTGTCTTTTGTTACCAGTAACTGTATGATCTCATTTTGAATTGTTTTTCCAAGGTAGTGGCGTGTGTACATTTCTTGGGTGGTGACACTTCTTAGATGCTCCTGGAGTACAGCATCAAACTCAGCCATCAACTCTGCAATTGTAAGGAAGTTTCCATTGTTTGGCACACACAGCTGATCTGAAGTGCCACGCAGTGCTAGGTTTTGGGTAGCAAGCATTCTCACAATGGCAATGAGCCTTTTCAGAACATTTTGCCAGTAAAGAGACTCCGATGCAATCTTCTCTTGATGCTGATCATCTATGGTGGCCTTTAACCTTAGTCTCATCTCAAGCTCTTTCCACCTATGGAAAGCTCTCTGGTGATTTGCTGCCTTCTCATGGCATGCCAGATTTCTAGCCAGATTTTCCCAGTCCTTCGTTCCTGTAGAACCCAATGTGGCTGGAACATAAATGGTATGCAGCATTCTGGGTTTTTGAGTACATAAGCCATGGCCTCTCCACTTTGGCACCATTGGGGATTTCACACCAGTAATGTGTTGGATGGAAACTTCTATTTTCATTGTCTTTGGGGAATGTGAAGTTTTTCACTTGCTGTGGCCCATGCAGTACAAGGAAGTCCCTCAGGCTACTGCTCAAGTGGGTCCAGTCCTGGATCATCTAGACTTAAGGAACTAAACTCAGCAGCAGCTGTTTCTTGCGCCTCCACCACACTCCTCTCTGATCTACACTTTTCTTCAGGAATGTGCCTGGTTACATCCATTTGAGATGGAGATATGGATGCTGCAGTAGCTGCCAGGTCACCTGCACTCTGACTAACTGGAAGTTCAGGCATCTCCTCACCACTCACATCCTCACTGGGGCCGGAAGGCTCAGCGTGAACATTTGTGTCTGTGTATCTCAGGAGAGCTCCTTCCTGCTGAGATAGAAAAGCTTCCTTTGCTTGCTTGCTTTTTCTGAATGCTGCCCCAGAGGGGTGTTTTCTTCTTTCACTCATGACTGCTGTTCTGTGCCAGCTAGAGTGGCTCTCAACACTCAGTTGAAGGGGACAAATAAGCAGGCTGGTAGCAGGGCCTGAGTGAGGGAAGATATCAGCGTCTTAAGAGCCTAACTGGCTCCTACTACTTCAGTTGACGCCTGTTCTCCTCAAGGGGGTTCAGGGAAGCAGCAGGAAACAGGAAGCTCCCTGAGAAGCTGGTGTGAATCAGTCCAGGCTCCTGGGGGTGCTGGAGAGGTACATAAGAGGCTCCTCCTCCTCTCTCTCCCTGCAGCTCCTGCTGCTTTCTGTTATTCCCTCTCACCTTTTCTCCTGCCTGCCTGTTATGTCTGTTGTGCCCTCCTTCCTCCAGCCCAGCTCCACCATCTCTGTGCATCTAGAGCAGAGAGATTACATAGGCACCAGCAGCAGACACAATTTTCTACACTCTGGGTCCTAGTGGTGCTCCCCCACAGCCTGGCACCTGAGCCAGGCACCTCAGTTCGCCTCACGGTAAGGCCAGCCCTGCCAGCGTCCCCAGCGAGCTCGGACAGCCTGCCCGGAAGCTGGCGCCACTGGTATTTTAAGCTGTGCTAGGGCGGGGACAGCAGCCATAGGTGTCCCACCCTGGCGGCAGTCACCCTTCGGGCTGCCGTGCAGAAGGACAGGCTGAGGCAGGCAGACGCAGACTCGGCCCAGCGCAGGCTGCAGCTCCCATGAGCCGTGCCTGAGGCGTGTACAATGGAACAGATCACAGCTGCCCTCCTTTTTAATACACAGTGGCAGCCCCAGGGAGCGGTGGGCCTTGGCTTGCAGTGTATCCCGGCCAGGCTTGGATGAAGGGGTAGCACCCTAGCACCAGCCCCGGGTTCAAGTGGCTGCCCACAGAGAGGACTGCAGCTGTGACCGCTTCCATTTTAGTTAAGTCAGGTGCAGCTGGCATGAAAACCCCAG